CTGGCTTAGGGTCGTATCCTCCCGCTGCTACCTGAGACCGTCGTTACGTAAAAGTTTATCATTAGGAAATGATAATGATAATAACTATGATTGAGCTGCTACCAACATCATAAACCGATGATTTGTTGATAATCCCGCATAGGGCCGTTATGAGTGGGGGCACGCGTGCCGACCCATGCGTGTCAGTGGAGCGATGGATGTTATGCTTGTGAAAATGGACTGACTAAAACTTCGAAGAATGTGAGTGCTGTGGGGTTCGAACCCACGCGGACCATGTCCAGTGGATCTTAAGTCCACCCCCTTAACCACTCGGGCAAACACTCGACGACAATCACACGAATCGGTACTGACTGCACGTGTGCAGTTTCATTAGAGATGCATTCTACGGTGTCGGGATACAAAAACTCGGACGGTCATTGATCGTCCGAGTCAACGACTTGATGGTCGTTGTGGCGGACAGCCGAGTCTCACACGGCCAAAGGTCTGGATGATCATGTGTAGCTCTTACATTTGAGCACAACTCGCGTGGCGCAGTGTATACCATACACTGTATGGCCGACGTGGGCCGGTATGCGGGTCCCGATGGAGCCTGATAGAGTCTATCAGATAGACTCTGATGCATTGGAGTCTGATAAGCTCGGGATACACAAGACTCAAGGAGGTTGCACAAATATCTATGATCAATTTCTCACAGTGGGCTGCAGTGTTACATCCAGACATGTCAGTTTCTCCCGTTGGCGCGGCTATGCCACCTCAAGGTAGGATCCTCCAAAATCTACTCTATATCTATTCCTATCCGAATACCTCGGTATTTCAGAAATACTGAGCTATTCGGACAATAATAGGAAGGAATGCTCATTGCAGAAATACTATTCTTAGGCTAAAACTATACTTTGTAAGAGTTCCTGAACACTGGAATAACACAAGACAAGCGTGATGAACAACAACGTATCACACGGTACTGATAATCCATGGCAGACACCTATGTGAATAGATTCATCGACAAACAGATACCTTACACCGTGCCTGACACGAAGTACCGGATGCGCCAATCTCGTTAGTGAGCACCATACACTGAGCTAATGTTATCAACTACCAGTGCGACTCACCGAGATGAGTGGCCAAGTAGATCTGCTATCATCGACGGTGTTATCGTCTCCCAGTCACTGTCTCAGTCCTTGTTGGTAACTATCAGGCGTACATAGTCACCAGATCAGCAGTAGGTCCCAATATACATTTTTTATGCTGGAAACGACGAGAATAGAAGATGCGACTGGGAATCCCAGCCTGGGATAGGGTAGGTGGAACCCTCGGTTACTCCTCATGGAGTCCGAATCCCACCTCCAGTTCCCGATTCACTTTTCGCATTTTCTCCGTTGTTACCATTGCAGGATCTCCCGGGTCGAGACATCAACGCCTGAGGATTACTCAATCAATTAATCGTCGGCTAAGCCTCAGCCGTCTCACATTATATCTTTCCTTCATCTCAGCGCGGTAGTTCGAATTCGCTTCATACTGGGCCGCCATAACCGTTACTGGAGTCTTACCTGATGAGCTCGAGAGAGTGGAACCCAGAAAGTCACCAAGAATAGGTTTAGAAATGAACTCACATAATTTTGGCTTGCAGGTCTTGGTCTGTACACGAAACGGCTGCATCAGCATAGACCCATACTAAGAGCACGATAACGATGCACGGTAAACCAGATGTTGGCAGAGGAAGATTGGCCTCACTTGGGACTTGTAGCGGACTCCTCCGAAGAAGAATCCTCCTGAATGATAGTCAGGAATGAGAGGGCCACGGTGAGCGTATCCTCTAGTAGAATATGAAAGATGATTGGGGGCCATGGAAATCTCGTAGTTGGAGAATCCTATCTTCTTACTTGGAACGGACAGAGCCCAAAAGGGGGAGCTCATATGGTAACTTCCCCAGATTCTAATGAGTTCAAAACCAGCAAACGTGTCTATCTGTGTGTACGAGACAGGAAAGCGAAGGATCGAGCGCATGGGGAACTATTCAAGTCGGACGTAGAACGTTTGTTGTGGCAGCGATAGGGTTGAGTAAGATGTAGTAAGGCAGTCACGTCCTCTCCGATTTTACTCATAACCTCATAAGACGATTGAGCATTGCTAACTAATGCCGAACTTTCCCTCAAGCCCTTCAACTTGGCGAGCGAGTCGCATCCCACTGTCTCGGAGACACGAACCGAGAGGCTTCCATCGGGCGGTGGATTTCCCATGTCCGCAACAGACGGCTCGCTGGCCTCGTCTTGGACAACCTTCTCGTGTGTTCTCCTGGCATGAGACTTGCCCGTGTCGGTAGTGTCGTCATTACTAAATTGGTAATGCATATAATATCCCCGACTGCGGTTGTCGTAGGAGCCCTCATCACCCTGGTCACAGGTGATCCCCAGGGATTTGAGGTCCTCAAATTGCGCGTTTCTGAGGGTGCCGTGCCGCTGACTCTCGATGGCCAGGCTCTACTGCTCGAAGCATCATCCGGTACGAGTAGGAGCTTCGTTTTCTATGGTCCACAATATGAGAGGATGTATGGTAGAGGTAGCTGTGACACGCAATATTATGGATGCTACTTCTGCCCTGGGGATAATCCTTGTGGTGACATATTAGATCGAGAGCAATGGGAGGTGCATTTCGATGACGGAACCTATCACTATGTTGAACACAACGTCACCCTTGAGATTGGCAAGTCCAAACTTTCGAACTTCACGTTCGGCTTGGTCATTTACTTCCCAACTCCCTATGTGAGAGCTCCTATGGCAACATTGGGTCTATCATTCGGTCGTCCCCGCATTCCTGAGACGTTCCTAGATCAACTGAAGAGGCGAGGTGCTATAACAACCCTTTTATACTCTGTTCACATGAATGAGGGAGGGCCTGGTATATCTGGCAATCTCATACTTGGTGGTCCATCTAAGACGCTGAGCAGCTCGCCGTTCGTTGCTTTCAGTAAGAATGTGCTCGTTGAGGGATTAAAGATAGCAGTCCCTGTGAGGACTTGCAAAGTCGTAGACTTTCGGGGGAAGAAACTCACCAACTCGCGCAAGAGCAAGTGGGCCGAGCCAGGTATTCTGGATACGGGAAATACAGCGATGTTGATTGAAGAGGATAAGTTCGAGGACATCATTGATGTTACATGGAATAGGATGAAGAAGTCAAAAGCCCATTCCCCTATAGGAGAGAAGAAGCTGCTCCTCTGTAAGAGCGTCCCATGGGATGGAATGGCGGTGTACCCACGGATTAGGAGGGAGGCTCTTCCTTATCTACCTATTCTGGCATTCCAAATTGGGGAGGTACCTCATCTCATTGACATTCACATCGAGCCCAAACACTATGTGAACTCCTGTGAAGGTACTTGCTGCAATTTGGATATCTCTACTGTTAATGAGTTCTTTCACCCACTCGTGTTGGGACATCCTTTGTTCCGTGCCTACGATGTGGAGTTCGATCTCACGAATGAGCGAGTATACTTCTCTCAAGGTTGGAGGAATTCAACGTCGTCGTTGACTCCTGGGGGATTATTCAACACCAAGGAGGTGCTGCAAAAACTGCAAACTGAAAACGACTTTCTGCGAGAGAGTCGAATTTAAAAGGCCGACCTGGGTTAAGTCGCTCAAACGGAAAAGCCCAACTTCGTTTTGTTTGATGATGTGTAAGATGTACTCCTAGGAGAAAACTTTAGTTGAGTTCAAGTATGACTCAAGGGCATGTTTCACTACAAACTAACGGTAGTGGTTTTTAGCTGAATTGCTCAATGAGATAGGTCGCAGAACTAAATCACCACCAATGTTGTTTGATCATGCCTCGAAATCTTCAGTTTGCGATTTGGTATCTAACGGTTTCAGATCGGAACCACTAAACGACTCTATAAACGATCGAGGACTCGATTGGCCTTGGTCTTTTGAGCCATAATAACACAACAGTAGAGTTTTCCCAATAGGTAAATACAACGAAAACAAAGAAAGGCTCAGTGGCTAGCTAAACTTCGAGCTAAGGGATAGTGATTCTGTGCAAATGTCTCCGGAAAAGCCTACACTCTCAAAGGAATGCACAGTTCTAGTTGGCTCAAGCTCAGCGTTGACTAGTAGTTATAGCTGAACTTGATTGAACCAGACCTAGGTATTACTATTCATTGACCAGTAGTTACCTCGTGGTCGCTGACTGAGTATCTCTCGACGTCTCGACTAACTGCTAATCTCTAGTAATCATATTGGCTTATGATAAGCCGCTTATCTTCTCCCGCTGAGCACTATTGAGAATGGTCAACTTTACTCGCTCGCTGGTTCACCCTGAACACTCTACCATACTGTTGTTGAATGTCTGTTGTCCAATAACATACATTCATTTAGTTAGTTGGGAGTAGTGGGTAGTGGAGCGAAAGCATGATGCGTTGCTACAGAACTTGTGAGATCCGAAAGTCTCAACCTCGAAGTTCTGTCGAAAAACTCTCCGAAACTTGCAACGCTGGAAGCTTCGCTCCGCATAAGTAGCAGCGAGGTTATGGGATACTCTCATCTGCCACAGAGAGTCAATTCGATGCTCTCTGTGCCAGAGCCTCTGGCTGATGACCCTCGCTTGACTACTCGTGCCTCCCAAGCCAACTTGAACAGGATGCGGGTGGGTGGGTTCAGGAAAGTCCCCATTAACTAAATGGTAACTGGATGTTAATCGATCCAACACCTCCCAACCAGAACACAAACCATTCGCTCGTTTGTTGACCTAGCCCAATAAATTGACCTTCATTTTCTTCCAGATCTACTCGTTCCAGAGTCTGCCATGTATAGAATCCCTAAGCCTAAGCTAAGGCAGAGGCTGAATCTAAATCATCGACTTCGTATCCCTCTGATCATCAAACTGCTGCTGCTCGATGATGATGAAGCATGTCCATTGCTAGAAGCAGACCATCTCCTCTGTCTCCGTCATCTCCATGACTCTCACCAGTTATCCTATTTGCCGCTACGAAATCACGCATGAACAGGTGAAAGAGCAACGCGTCATGGATTATGTGCGAGCATCCTCAATTTCTCACATGCCTCTCCGAAGCGTAATAGCATCATCCTCTTCGATCCTTCACCCCTCTCCCCATCATCCTTCGTCATCACCCTCACACTGCTCACCTCTCGGCTAGCAATAGACCGTCGACATTAACTTAACAACGAAACACTGATCGACTTAGTGTGAGCCGAAAGTCGCTGTTTATATTAAGTCTATCACCATCACGTCGCCGATTCATCACCCGATGATCTCGACATACTTCGAGCACGTGGAGGACCTACGAACATAAACAATGAATAGTAGACGTAGACGATTCCCAAGCTCGGAAACGTAAGAATATCCCAAGTCACGAATCTAATCCTAAAGCTGTACATATTCGGTCTGTTACCAAAGGCTTTGATATTATCCTCACCCGACTTACTCATCTCGCGGTTCCTCACGCTAGGACTTGTCCTCTTCTCCTTCTTCTGATCCTCACGGTACTGTGAATCTGGTCTCCTCCTGTTACCTCTCCCATCACGCTCCCTTGACCTTCTGTGTCTATCATCTCTCCTTACTGGACTTGCACTCTTATCACTTCTCCTCACCCCACCGCGGTCTCTCGATACTCTTTCATCTTTCCTCTTCACATCACGTTCCTTCGAACGAGGACTTCTTCTCCTCACTGGACTAGGACTCCTCCTATCACTTCTTCTCCTCTCCCCTCCCCTCAGGCTAGGATTCCTCCTATCACTTCTCCTCCTCTCCCCTTGCCTCGGGCTAGGACTCCTCCTATCACTTCTCCTCCTCTCCCCTTCCCTCGGGCTAGGACTCCTCCTATCACTTCTTCGCCTCTCCCCTTCCCTCACTGGACTAGGACTCTTCCTATCACTTCTTCTCCTCTCCCCTTCCCTCACTGGGCTAGGACTCCTCCTATCACTTCTCCTCCTCTCCCCTTCCCTCGGGCTAGGACTCCTCCTATCACTTCTTCTCCTCTCCCCTTCCCTCACTGGGCTAGGACTCCTCCTATCACTTCTTCTCCTCTCCCCTTCCCTCACTGGGCTAGGACTCCTCCTATCACTTCTCCTCCTCTCCCCTTCCCTCGGGCTAGGACTCCTCCTATCACTTCTTCTCCTCTCCCCTTCCCTCACTGGGCTAGGACTCCTCCTATCACTTCTTCTCCTCTCCCCTTCCCTCGGGCTAGGACTCCTCCTATCACTTCTCCTCCTCTCGCCTTCCCTCACTGGGCTAGGACTCCTCCTATCACTTCTTCTCCTCTCCCCTTCCCTCACTGGGCTAGGACTCCTCCTATCACTTCTTCTCCTCGTTCTCCTCACTGGACTACTGCCGGCCTCCTCACTCTTCACCCTGGTCCGGCGCCCAATAGACGTCCGATGCCTATTCGGGGAGGTATCCGAGGGCTCGCTTTCACTACTACTAGACTCCGACGACGAAGATGATGATGATGAGGATGAACCTACCACGAGAAATGTTCAATACAGAGGAGCTACATGAGAAGTCACAAAGGAATGGTATGAGATACACAAAGATAGAGAAATCTATACACGATGACTTCTACTGCTCTTCTTCTTGTCACCATACCAACAGATCAATCATCATTGCCGTATACCTCAAATACCTCTCCCTATCGACTACCCTCGACAAGCTCATCCCATCATCGCTCGTCAAATTCTATACAAGTGCTTTTACTCTCTAAAGAGTTTATTTTTCCTCGTATGTGTTTCTCGTTAACGAATGAGAGTTTTGAGCTGAAACTTTAGCAAAGCATAGCTATCATACACTTGAATGGAACTGTAATATTCGCAACCGCTACTGAGATATGAGAAAATATCTCAATAGGAAGCCGTTCACTGCAAAGTCGTTGACTTAACCCCCCATATCTCATGCACCCACTATTACTACTATCATCATCATCACTACTGCTATCCTCATCCGAGTCATCCTCCACCGCAGCGGCCGCAGCCCTCTCAGCAACCTCCCTTGCTTGGACCTGTTGAGGTAGAGTGATGCTCGATCTTCCAAAAGGACTCTCAAGTCACCTCCTGTAGAAGTTGGCGATGCTTCTTAGTCAACGCTCCAAGGCCGATAGCCGAGAAGAAGTTGATGGCGAATCTAGAGGTAGGATATGAAAGATACAAAACAGGTCCGATAAGAGCCTACCTCATATGATGGGTCGTATCCTTCGGTAATATACCCGCAAGGGCTTCCTCATAATTCGGATCGTTTAGACGGTGATACAGTTTACGGAGTCCCCACACCTTGAAAACATACCAAACTCGACCACTTGCCGTTCGTCAATCAAATTTAGGAGATCCCTCACTAGTTACAGAAGTGTACAAAAACCCATGAAAGTCTTCCTGAATTTCCTTAGAATTTTCATGTTGACATCAACAGGCATAGCTAAACATGCGCATATTTTTCTACACTATTCATGGTTCACCAACAACCCCTCAAAACTCTCAACACCATTTACCACGGAAGTCATCTCAACTACTACTACAACAAACTAATTTAGGATAATATGCATATAGCTGCAAACATGACAATATGAAAATTCTGAGAAAATCTTCAGAAGTCGCGACGAATTTCTACCAAACTTATACGTAAACTCCTACAATTTGTGAGGAAACTCTCGAGCTCAGCTGAGAGGAGCAAACACCAGCGCTGACACTCTCACAAACAGCATACCTTACCTCGCTGAGATACTGGAAAAGATTCTTTATAAAGATACGTGTAGCCGAAGTAGTGGTCTCCTCAGTCAACTGAATGCACTTCAATACCTACAACAACAAAAATATCAACAATTCCCTATACGCTTCGCTCCGCCTGCCTACTTCCCAACTTATCGCATCACTCGCCAAAAGATGACCATAAAACTTCGCTACGTTACGAATCTTGTTGGTCTCGAGTCGATGACACGTCTCGTATTGGTCCAGGAAATTGGCCTCGAAATTCTGTCGGTAAACTTCCACCAAACGACTGAGGCGTTCAGCCTGAACAAAGAGAACACATTTCAAATCGTCCACACAAATTCTAATTTAACTTTTATGCAACCGATGCACTGACAATTATTTTCCACCATATAAAGGGAATAATTATAAGAACTGATTGAGGAATAAATCATCATACATTTAATATTCGCTGAACTGATTTCAAATTCAAATTGGAAATTAAATTTCGGGAAAAATTTCAAATTTTAATTATGCAAGAAATTACTTCAAAAATTATGTAAATTTGATTATGCATATTCGGTTCCTCAGTGGAACACGGTATTAGAAATGGAGACTATCCCTCAGCCAGCCATTGCAATGATCCTCACCTGAAGAGCATAAAAGCTATTGAACGTCCTTTCCATCGCACAGCAGTCGATCAACATCGTACAGATCTGACAAAAATGCATAACAAAAATCACTTCGCTCCGCTAAATAATGTTACCTCTTTCTCCTGCCCCTCTCTAATATTCAGACTGAGAATCTTATGTACGCACTCCTCAAAGTTCACAGACGACATGATGCACAAGTACACTGAGGGAACACGACCATCGCTTGGGAATTCCATGGCGCGCGGGAAGTTTATGCAACTCTTACGACTTCAAAAACTTCACAATTTCCCACCTGTTCGTCGTAGATCAACAGTAGCTTGCTCAGTGTAATCGATAATCTCTTGAGTCGCCTTGGCCTGCTGCTGTCCTTCCTCATCCTCTTCTTCTTCCGCTTCGCTGTCCTCCGATGATGACGACGAAGACTCTGAAGTCAATCCCAATGCATACCACTCCTCCCTCATTCCTCCGAACAAATGAAGGTAATACACTATGTTCTACATCTCCATCACTGTGAATAAACACATACCTAATGAACTATAGCCCAATACACTACTAATGCGTACGAACTATCCGTAAAAAATGCTTATCGAGCACTCGAATGATCATACTCCACAACTCGGTATTCCATCAACCCTTCAAAATGTCAGTACTTACCTCCATCACTCTCGCCTCCTCCCTCTTCATCACTACTCTCTCCTTCTAACAGCGATTTACTAAATGCCTTCCACTCCCCTTCCTCCTCCTTATACCTAAATTTATTTTTTTATTTTCATGCCATAATTCCCTCCCATCCTACTGTGCCGGGGTTTCCGCCCTGAAAATATTCAAAATATTTTCACCATCAATTTCCCCATCTCTTATGGCAATATCGTGCGTATACCTGATTTCAATTTAAATTACCACACTTCCCATACCGTAACTCACTGATCTTCCTCATCGATCAGCTCCAACTCGGGAACAACTCCAACATGATCAGGTAGGAAGTTTTGCCGCAATATAGCAAAGAAGTTCTCAATCGCATATTGCACCCTCTTGTTTTCCAACTGACCTGCTCATCAAAGTAAGAAAATATGCATATGCTCAAAATGCGGAAATTATGAGCAAATCTTTGGGGAATTTCTCCTTGGGTTTTTGTACACTACCCAAATTCGTGTGTAAACCTCAACTTTGAAACTCCTGAGCTCAGCTGAGAAATCAAACATATATTTCTCCAC